CCCTCCCAGCACCCAAATACAACCCGCTCTACTGTTATCACCACAGTGTGCCACGACCACACCGGCGACACCTGGCCACACAGTGGATCTAAAGGAGCGCCGCAATTAAAGCCCGCTGAGGTCCCGTAACGACGGCCACCGTAATCGATGATTTTCTCGCTGATATCTTTTCTCGTAGATGTATCCTATTTTGCTTTATATTTCCTGTGTATTTGCGTTGTAAGTTCTCATTACTTTCTAATTTATTTATCTCAAGTGATGCGTGAAAAGATATAGTATTCTTCGTGAAGGATCTCGAGTTTTGGGGGTTAGGGACAACCGTTGCTTCCGAAAACCCAGCACCTTGATGTCTTTAGCCGTTTCAAAAATGTTAGAAGGTACGAGAGCTTTCCAGTATGTGTTTTGATCTCTATTTTTTGAAAGCTACTCAACAAAAAAAAAAAACTGCCCTGGAGAAACATCGGTCGCTGCGAACTCTTTTGGGAAACGAAGCTTTTGAATAATCCACTTTGCTATTCTGTGGCGGATAGCACTTATCATTGTGCTTTTGCTTTTTTGCAGGCTTGGGTTTTCAGATAGTATGTGAGGAAGAACTAGTCTTTTTAATTTTTGGAACGGTATTAAGCTCTTGTAACCGAGTTGGCGCCTGAATCGTCATGGCAATGGCACAACTGTTATTTTCCATAGTTGAGTCTAGGATAACCATCAAGTTTACTTTAACATGAACTCCTTTATATTTGAGATTTAGCTATGTGTTATTTTCGCTGATTTTCATGTAAAAATACGCTTGTCAAAGTTTTTATTTCAGGGTACCCCTGAACTTGTGTTCCAGCAAAGATGGTAGGTCACTCTCATGTGTTGATTGTGCGTTGGTTGGTACCATCTATTGAATGCCAAATGTTTAGGGTATTGACATCAACCATAAGCATGACCGCAAGGTCCGCAGGACTGCACCGAAAAGCGAGGATCCATATCTCCGAATTCTCGCTAAGGTATGGAAATTCAACCGTTGCATATTTTCGTGACGTTTTTTTCGTGGTTTTCATTTTATTCAGAAGTTCGTTTACTTGGCCTGTAGGTGTTATTGATGTGCTCTTTAGTTGTACACGTTCTTGGCTAGACGTACCGGTGAGAAGTTCAACAACATCATGATGAGGAGACTTTTCATGTCGCGTCGCTTCCGAGCTCCACTTTCTATTGCACGCATTGCCAGAATGCTGAAGAAGGAAGGAAACGCGAACAAGTTGGTCGTCACTTGTGGAACTGTCACAGATGATGCTCGCCTTTATGACGTGCCGAAATTCACCGTGAGTACCGCCTCATTTTGTTATCCATTCGTTTCCTTTTGTCATCCTTCGACAGTGTGTACCCTTTCACAGCCATCTTCTTACTGAGAAACCAGGCGATTGCATGTTTTTGGAAAGTTTAAAATGAGTTGGTGGCCTTTGGATAGTTCTCACCAATACTATCATTCAAAGATTTACTTGAACCGTTTAACGATGGTGCCGCGTGATTTCTTTTGCGACGAGCAACCTTATTTCAGAAGAGCCTAGTTCTCATGTTTAGTCGAGACTCTTTCCAAACTGCGCTCGGGTTGGTAACCAGCGCTGATCGATACCTTCACTCTCTTCTTCGCGTTTTCCCTAGAACAATGATTCCTCTTAAACGGCGACCTCCCGCTTTGTAGAGTATGAACGCAGCCATAATCAGGCTAATTTTATGCGAAAAATCCGTTATTATTTGCTTTCGATGGTCAATATATTTTTCTAATGGACGAACAATTTTTTAAATTCTTTTGGTTGACACAGTTGTCCGTAAGGATGTTTGAATTTCTTTATCACTTGAAAATTGCGCTGGCACTCTATGGCATTCTGTGAAACATATTTCTCTCACTGTTACTGCATTTCGTTTAAAACCTCGGTGCATATGTGACAGTTTCGTTTTTGCTATAGCTTTATGGAGTCAAGTGACCATACTGAAGAACTCGAACTCTACTGGCGTACGAAAATTACTTGCACTTGCAGAACTCACTTTCCGTATTGCTTGAAATTTTGGGAGGTAATAGAAGAGAAACCACCACGTTTACTAGTGGAGTTATCCCGGGGATTTTCGTTTAATTTCTGTTCAGATAGTCTGCTCACGCAATGTAAAAGTGTTCCGAGGATAATGCCCACCGCCAGAGGTTTATTGCATCAAACGCTAATCCTGCTGCAGATTCATATTTCAGTTTTCGTTTTTTTTTCAGTTAACCTCCAGGGAGGGGGCACCAGTAGGCGCTTACCACTATACCAAGCCTGCAACTACATTCAGCTGTCAAGCATCCTGCAGACTCTTGTGAAACTTGTCAGTATGACTGCTCATGATCTGAAAAAAGTTGAGAATTGGCGATCCAGTACGCTAGTTCCACTTCGCTGAGCGGCAGGAATTCGCAAGGTACTCGTCAGGAAGTTGCAGGAATGGAACACGAATGAGAAAAGGCAAAAGTAAAGGCAAAGGCACACATCAGAGAAGCTCCTCGGTGTGTCCCTCCCCCTCGCCCTTCCCCGCCCTCTAGCTGATTAGCGCCGAATTTCTAGCTAGTTGTGTGCAGAAAAGTGAATTCTATTCGTAAAATTTCAGTGTCCCATGGAAATCTGGATTTCATACTGCATTTTTCAGCTCGCTGCCCTGAAAGTTACCGAGCCTGCTCGTGCCCGCATTCTTAAGGCTGGAGGAGAAGTCATCACCCTCGATCAACTCGCTCTTCGTGCTCCCAAGGGAGAGAACACTCTTCTCATCCAAGTAAGTGATTTCTTTGTGTTCTTGAATATGTAATCGGGTATTCACTTGCTTTAGATTTACTATCCACTGTTTCTGATACATTTCTCACTCAGTGACTCCAGTGAACTTGGGGGGGGAGGTATATAAGGAACTCGTGGTGCTAAACAGGAACTACTGCACAGGAGGTGGGGACTTTTGCCTAACGAGCGAAGCTCTGGATGGGTAAAACAACAGATTCGCGCAAGGAATCCTTCAAATGTATCTTCCCCTCAAGGTTACAACTGCCTTCTATGGTTATCATGTATCATTCTTGAAAGCCTGCACGTCATTTCCTCAATAGAAGTACCATAGATTTCGTGCCCTTCCAAATCTGAATCGATGGGCCCAGATTTAGACGTTGGTTTAACATGGTACGACTTCACTCCCTTGAGTTCATATTTGGCTATTCTGAAGAAATTAGCACCTTGGAGTGCGCATTTTGTAATACTCAAGCATGGAAACGCTGCAAGTGACACTCATAGCTGAATACAAACATCTTTAAAACGGTGAAAAGGTGATTAAGAAATAAGTTCTCTCTTTTTTCGAAGTTTTCTGTGCCCCTCACAGAGATTCCTGTTTGTTTCGATGGATAGGTTGAGATTCGGAAGTAGTCTCGGCTTTTCTCTCGCATTTTCTGCTAAGTTGCTTCCGCATTGCGATTTATGTCGTGCTCGCCTGGGTTTAAATTAGGAAAGGCATAACGGGCCGCAGATTCTTTTGTTTATATCATTTTTGCTTAATTTCCTGTATCAGTAGCGATGCAAAACGTACAACATCAGATTTAGATGATCTCCGTTTTTCTCCAAACGTGTTCCAATAGTATCAAGAACGTTAGCTTTTACCGAATTCTTCCAACCTTTAGGGAAGGCGATCTTGCTGAAAAGTCTTAATAAAGCGTTTTAGCACAAAAACCTATTAGATCGATTTAATATTGACAGCTCGTTAAAAGCTCCAAATCACTTATCAGATCAAGAGGTTTCGTTTCGGTCAATGAATAGATGGACTCCTTATCGTGATATTGCACTGAATTCACCGTCCAAGTCAGACTTAGTGTCTGGAGCTGAGGAAACTTCAAGTAAACGACTCCAGTTCGACCGATCACACAAGAACCTCCAACCTGAAAAAAGCTACGCGTTTCTCCTTTAACAAGGGGATAATCATAGGTAGAAATGAGTGTTTGAAATGAGATATTTACTGAGTGGTGTGCCTTTAGACGTTGATTATGATCTACCCTTCCTTGTCCGTACTTCTCGACAACATTACAGAGGTTTTTTCTTTGGAGCATACTGGTACTCAATACGCAATTTTAGAGCATAAAGCCGCTTCGAATATTACGCGGGTTGAAGTAAAATACGCTTTATTCGTCGACGAATTCGGTCACATAACCTTGGAGGTTCCACAAACGGTCCCACGTCAAAAATTCTTATTTAGTGTGGTAGTGCACCCCAAAGAACCACCGTGGTTTGTTGAGAGAGGTGCTTAGCAGCATTCCATGCGGCCTCTTTTACCTACCCTTTTCTGATGAAAACTTGTTGATAGCCTTAGGCTTTACAGGTGTGTCCCTGAAAGAGAATAGTATATATTGATGTTTTGAAAAGGTTGAGAATAATTACTCCTAAAAGGTCGCAGTGAATGAATTGAAGTGAGTGAATGTGTTACTTGCAAAAGGCACGAAACCTTATCCACTGGTCCCGAACTCCCTATAATTTATGTGTTCCTTTCCTACAGTTTCCTTCCACACTATCTTATGAGGCCTCTCTAATTTGATTGGGATGTAGAGTGCAACTTTTAGAGGCGCTCACGCTATTAAGTGCATAGCCAACAAAGCTATTTTGAGGGTGAGATACACTTGAACTGCTACGGAATTTTGTGAACGATTTCTTTTCGCATTGAAAGTTGCTTTACTGTGCCTTGAGATAGTGTGAAACATCCCAGACCGTGAGAATTGCGCACAATCACACATGTTCCTCTCCGCGGTGTGGCATAACCTATTTGGCATTTCATCAAGTTCCAAAGTTGTCGAAACTGGTTTGGGACGTGGGCGACACGTGTCTTCCTTGACATTCTGAAGGCGATGCTACTTGCTGACTACTGGGGTAAAAAATATTGAGCTGATGTGAAGGTACCCGTAGTATGGACATGGTGTTTCAAGAGGGGACTAACATACACTTACTGCGTAAGCTGTGCCCGTTCGTATTGTTCTCGGGATTTAAGATCTTTGTAAAGTGGAACGGCTTCGTAATACTCAGAATCCTTCTTTCCTTTTGTTCCTTTTCTTTTCCTTCTTCCTTATTTTTCCCCTGTTCAAATGCTCGCCGGAAGACGCAATGAAAGAATACATCTGGATCCCTGGCAGTGACAGAATATCCGGTTGACAGAGACAACCAAAATATCATGTTCTTCAAGTGAAAAGAGTGAAATCCCTTAGAAACGAAGTAGTGTAATGTACGGCTACGTACTGTCTTGCTTTTTTATCGTCCGAATGTTCTTTCGTCCTATTCCTTATGGAGAGATACGTAGTGATATTGCGACTCGTTTTATTTTTTAAATGATGTCTTCTCTTGTCACACCCAGCACGACCGTATGACTGTATAACTCATCTACATTCTGTATCGTTGCATGGACTGTAATAATTCATCTAAGACTGTATTGTTGGCAGACGTTGCGGATGTATTAGACAGGGAGGGTATTTGGTGAGGTTTAAGTGCTGTTCTCGCACAATATGCAAGTGACAGCGATCACAACTGGTGGAAAGCATTTTCGGGGCCTTGTCAATTCCAAGATTTATGAGCTCTACAGTCTGATGGCCGTGCTAGGTGTGAGAGGCAGGGCACGCCATCGTGTTGTATCATTTCCTGAAAAATACGACCCTCCGCCCCCTCCCCCCGGATTCCATGCTCAAGTATGACCCTCCCCTCTCCATACCTACCACTTTCACTTTCCTAGATTCTCCCAACTTCTTACCACTTTTTCCATTTTTTCCCGAAAAATTCCAGTTTCTTCAGCCAAGAATTTTCCGTTCCGTCGAGTGGGGGGGGGGAGGAAAGGTCGTCAGGATTTAACTATCATCTTCCACTATCGGAAATAGCAGTTCTAAAGATCTTTGGCGGTCTCTCTCTCAACTACGGCCGATATGTACGACCTCCCCTCCCCCCTTTATAGCTGTATTTAAAAGAAGTGAAATCAACTACCAAAAAAATTTTCTCAGACCAAAACGACTCCCCACTCCCGTCAAATACGATCCCCCCGCCCCTTGTTGTGATCACCACAGAGCTAGTCGCAGTATCACGAAGTATCTTTCCATCATGAACAGGATGAAAGAACGTAGGGAACGAGAAAAGGCAGCGAGTAGAACCCACACATCACATAACCCTGGATTTTCACCCTTTTTCTTTG